AGGTTTAGAGGGTTATAGTTATACCAAAATTTTGCGAGGAAAACTTTTTGTTAATACGCAGAAGGCAGTTTCATAGAGTTATGGGCGATTTTTGACAAAACAAACACCTGATCTTGAAATTTGATTGGCTGCGAAATTTTTTAGACTGGCGATTTTAGGGAATCCCGCGCGGGATGCGCGTCACGCGCGGGATTTTTGGAAAAACCGCGATTTGCCCATCTCTACCTAAAACCTACTTATACTTGTTTATTATAAAACCTGCTTCTAAACCCTCATCCTAAACCTAAAAAAATGCTAAAAAAAAATGTATCCCCAAAATTTGTATTTTTCGGTGGCTTGTCTATTTTACACTATCTCTCATTTCATTTTAACCCGATTTCATTTAATCTGCCACAATAAATGATGTGTTTTATCTCATTCATTTATACGAAACATCACCCGATAACACCGATGACCAAAATTCTTTAACAAGAGAAGAATTAATAAATTTAGCTATGGAATCTATTAATAAACGTCTAACTCACAATCTTCCAGAACAATTTCGAGATTCGCAAATTACTCCACCTCGCTTTATCCCTTATTATCTTGATCCGAAACTCAAATATTCACCTGGTATTCCTTTCCTAGCTAAATTAAAAACACGATGGGAACTAAGGGTCTTAGGTTATGAGGAAGCCTTTATGGAATCCACTGTAGATAATATGAATAAAGGGAATTATCTCACTCAATTTTATCATGCTTTTGGCAAATCACAAGGCGTTCCTGTTCGAAAAATTCTAGCCGGTAAAGATATAAGAACAGTAACTGCTCAAGACCTGACTACTTATTTCATAGACCAGGTTATTCAATTAGAAAGAAATAAATGAATAACCTGGCGAACCACTGGCATTGGAATCGGTATGATCCTTAATCAAAATATGGCGTTCCTTTTCCAAAAAATGTTAGAATTTATATCTGAGGGTGGTCTTCTAGTCGAAGCTGATGCAACAGCTTTCGATTCACATTTAAATCCATTTCCATTCGAAGGTTTAAAAAGACTTGGGGAAAAATCTTTTGAATCTCATTGGAAAAAGGAAGCGATCTCTTCTGTATTCCATTCAAAGTATGATAATTTACAATCAGTTTGGATCTTTAATATTACGGAATACCCACATGAAATATTCGAGTTAGGGTTAGACAATCCATTATACGTGCATAAATTACTAAGAGATTTTCCGACTCGTTATATCTCTTATAAAGACTTTCTTAATCATTATAATGATAAAGATTTCTTAAAAGATAAAATAGTTATCTCACAGCACTGTTGTTAGGCGAAACTATTTTGGCAAATGGCGAAAGACGAAACTAAACCCGGCGAAAGACGAAACTGGCGAAACTCTGGCGAAACGGCGGAACTCTGGCGAAACTGCGAAGCTGCGAAACTCTGGCGAAACTTGGAACCCCGGAGAAAGTAAAACTCAGCAAATATCAAATCCTCTAAGACTTTAATCAAAATATTTTGCGCGTGGCTATTAAGACTTTGAAAAAGACTGAGCCATATTAGTGAATCAAAATATTTTGCGCGTGGCTATTAAGAACAGCATGTGGATTAAATGTACAAAAGTAATAAACAAAGTGATAGCCTTTTGTTTGTATTCGAGTACTATTAAAAGAAAACTTGACTTCGGGTTTTTAAATTTATAATTAAATCAATTCAGCCTTGAAAATTCAAAGCTTGAAATTTTGTTTTCTTTAGTAGTCTATGTATTAATATTATTCATGTAAAATAAACTTATCTAAATATTTAAATAAATTTATTGTTACATTGTTAAAATTTTTTCTTTAACATTTCATTGTTAAAACTTTAATTAAATGCTATACATATGTAAGTAGTTCGTTAACATTATTATTACTGGTAATTATTTTCCTATGCTTTATTTTATCTAGTCCTAAATCTTTAAGAAACTAATTGTTATATTATTGACTTATAATAGACCAAATGTAGTAAAATTTAGATTATTGATTAAAAGCATCGTATATGGCAGCATAATTATACATATGTTGTATATCAAATTAAATTTGTATTAGGTTAAAATCAAATATTAGGGTTGGGTAAGAGTCTATGCTAGAAGTAATAATTATATCTATTCGGAAATCTATACCTGGTTATCCATGAGTTATCCAATTAGTAATATTTATAAATTCAGTTATTATTATTATTATTTATTTTTCTAAAATTTATCATTCTAAAATATAATTTTTTAGATTTTATAATTCTAATATTTTTTGTTAACAAAATATAATTTGGGGTCTGTTTATTTTACTAATAATTTAGTTGTGTTCTCAAGCATCTTTCTCAGTATAATTAGCTAGCTATAGAGATCGTGCATAAGTACTATGATTAATTGAAGTAAACCTTATAATATTTTTGTTGAAGAGTCATGTTGTGAAATGTGAATATTAAATTAGTCAATTAGTACAACTCTATAATAAAAAAAGATAATCTCTAATCATCTTTTTTTTATTACAATAATGAACTACTTGACCAAATAATTTATTTTTTATTAATTAAAATTGAACTCAGATCTATTGATTTAGATATTTGAGAATACTCTAAATATAGAATTAATGATAAAATTAATATAATTTTTAAGAAATTTATTAATAAATTGATTGTTAATAAAATAAAGACGATTACTATTTGTACACCAGGTATATATACGCACATATATTGATATCTCGAAATTTTGATTATAAAACCCACTTCGGGGTTCTAACACAAAGGATTCCTTGCAAAATTTTAGTATAAACTATAACCTTCTCTAACCCTAAAGCTACCCTCACCCTAACCTTAAACTATACTAATTTTTTGTTTACAATTTATATATTAAACAAATTTGTAAATCAATAAATTAGTATGTGTGTATATAAACCTGGTGTAAATTAAGTAATTTTCTAAAATAAAATATTGATAATTTGATTAAAAGTATTTATTAATTTAAGTAAATTTATAAATCTTTATTATTTTATTTATATTAATTAATTTATTAATATAAAATAATAATATACTATATTTGATTTATTAATATGATTAAAATACAAAATAATTAAGTTACTCTCTTTATAATGAAGTTGTTAGACTAAAAAATTTTTTTATTATATTGAGATATTCACTATATCAAAAAATTTTAATATAGTAAAAATTATATTTAAAATAAAATTTTTTATTCTATCAAGAGATTTTTATATTAAAAACTTTTAATATAATAAAGTTGATATATAAGTTTAAAAATTTACTATATCAAAAAATATTTAAATTAATATAATTAGCTACAAATTATTTTATAAATAAATCTTTATTATATCAAGTGTAAATTTATTATAAATACTGTATACTATATTTTTTTAAAAAGATATTATTAAATATCACAAGTTGCTATATTACAGATTAATATGATTGACCAATTAGATCACAGGATCTTGTATAACAAAAATAAAAGAAAAAATTAAGAAAAAAATCAAAATTTTAAATATCTTGTATAAACTAATCTTGGGTTTCTAATTAAAAGTTTTTAACACTTAAATTTATATATATATATATATATCTTTTAACTTTAATCCTAATGCTAGCTCAAATCTTAACCCTAACTAATAATAATTTTAATTGTTTTTAAAAAATATATATTAAACTGCAATATTACAACCTACAAAAATCTTTTTAAAAAACTCATAACTATATCTTGTATTTAGAGTTTATTATTAAAACTTCATTATATCAAATGAAATATTAATAGCTTTGTTCTTGTTCTAAAAAAATCTTTACTATAAGCAAATCTTTGGTTTACTATAATGAGAGTAACTTATATATTATTAAGTATATATATAAAAATAAACAAATTGATCATTATATAAAAGAGGTTTAACTTTCTTTAATTACCTTTTTATTATTGTCTCTTTTATTAATTTTATCATCTTTCATTGGTTTTGCTATCTTTTTAATTTCATCACCTTTCAGCAGTTTTGCCAGTTTTGCCA